AACGTTCTACAGTCCTATTAGACCGGGGCCTACGGTTTAAAGTGGGTTCCGAATCACTGCAAACATCCAGGACACCGCCGAGACCCGAACCCGAAGCGAAGTTCATTCCTAATTAGTGGTACAAAATATTCATAAGACAAAGATTTTGTAGACATTCGTCTACTATTAGCTGTATAATAAAATAGTATTAGCCAATATTTTATGTAGTATTAGCTAGATATTTTATGATTATTTCTAAATAAGCTTTATTTGTAAAAAAATTATTATTTGCAAGCAATTTTCTCTTTATTTCGCTTTTTTCTAATAAGCTAGTTGCTATTATCTTTTATATAAAATGAATTACAATTGCGATTTTTGAAAAATAAATATAAAAAAAGAGTGTTGTTTATAAAAAAAGAGGTCTAAATTGCCTTGGGTGTTGTGTATTGTCTACTTTTTGTTTTGTTCAAAAAAACAGTTACTGATGTTTTTTGAGTTAAAAAAGAATTTTTGTCCCTCAGGTTTTTCAAACATTTTAGTCACTCGTATTTCTAAAAAAATCACTTAAAACTCTTTTTTAATGTCGAAAAACTGAAACATCACATCTTTCTATACTTCAAAAATTTTCTTTTGACAAAAAAAAAGCGGTTTTTTAATTCGTGATTGAATATTCCGTAGAATTGCAAGAAAATTATAAGCCAAAAAAATTTTTAAGCTTTTTATTATAAACCAAAAAAATTTTAAATTCCTTTGTAAGAAATTCGAAGGGAACGAAAGAAATTTTTTTTTCTTGAGAAGTATTGCTGCATTAAAATTTGAGTACCTTTGTAAGTATAAGTTACTCTGATATTCAAAAATTGTTGTTTTAATTTTTTTATACACGAATAAAAATTAAATATATATGACTTATATAAAATATTTATGACTATATGACTTATTTTTTCTTTTCAATTAAGTACATCAATCCATTTGCTCAGTCAGAATTTATTAGGGATTAGACTATTATATTAGTTATTTAATTATAAAAATGAATATTGCGATAAAAGTTAACGTTGTTCTTTTTAAGATCAACAAACACATATTAACTCAAATTGAATTTTCATATATTGAAAAAAAATATAGGAAAATGTAGTCTACATTGATTTACGTTTAAATTGCTTTACAAATTAACTTTTCCAATTTCAACACTTAAGAATTGACGTTAGTTGATAAAATTATCGTTATTAATAAATAAATCCTTCCTCTACTAATTGATTAACTGTTTCACTTATTTTTTGCGAAATATAATATTCTATTTAAATTTTCATTTTCTGTTTGATGTCCGGAATTGAATTTTCTGAAAATAAATTACTAATATTTATGTTGAACTTTAAATGCGATACTTATATATTTTTAAAAAATATCTTTTTAAAATTTTTTTCACTAAATTATTGGCTCAGTTCAACAAAAACTGTTATAAATAAAATAAAGATTTTGTTTTCTTAATTGGTATTAATTCATGTTGATGTGATTTTGAATTAAATTTTTAAGAAAAAATTAATCCAATGGAAATTAAATATTTTTAGTTTAATAACTACATAATTTATTCTTATTAAATTAAAAGAGCTAAATTTATTAATTTGATAGAATAAGTAATTTTAGAATTTTAGTATAGTTTAATTTAGTAATTTATATTTTTATATCACATGGATTCGTAAACGGTGTTAATGAGCTTAGTTCAGAAAATAAAAAAAAAATCACTACTTTTTTTATATTTTTAATTCACTGACTTCTGACAAAATTTAGCATTTCTCATATAAGTTAAATAAATCGTAATAAATAAGTTTGGAATAAATGTTATTGTTTCTTACATTGTGATTAAAAAAAATAATTTTTGTTTGTTAGCAATTTCATTATTAAGAATTCATTATAATTACAATTTATTAAAATTTCATTATTAAGAATTCATTATAATTACAATTTATTAAAATTTCATTATCAATTAAATTATTAATTTAATTATCACATTATATTATATTATTTATCGTATTGTGATTAAAAAACAATTTATTTTTGTTTATTAACAATTTCCAATACAATAACCTTTGTGCTCGCTCTGACTTGATAGGGAAATTAAAATTACCCTATGCTTTATTATGTACCTTGTTATTCTATGATATGCTTAGAAAAAATCTAATAGTTTTGTTAAGTAGTTCAATAGGTAGTAGTTCGACCATGGATTGTGTGGAAAGATAAACATCCGGTTTGAAGGCAGAAACGGACGGCACGATTATTTGTTAGGGGTGCTAGTCAGATATATACGGCTCAGGACAGTTTTGAGAGGAAAAAGTTTAATAGTTATTGTGGACTTTTGTTCATGATTTTTTTTTTTTTTTTCGTGTTACGTAATTTAAAATTTTAATTATTAAAAACTAATACTTTCTTTATAATTTAAATCTCTCCGAAAATAATTATTTTCCCTGTTACGCTTTCTGTTAAAACGGTCCGATTTGGCAGCTTGCCCATTTTTCAAACTATAAATGGTAGAACTATAGTTTTTTTTATGTTTTTGTTTGTTTAACATCAGTGTTTAACATTAATTAACGATATTTGCCTCACATTTAGGTGTGGTACAGAAAAAAAACTCTGAAAGGTTCCACCAGGTTACATAGGCTTATTATAGATGCGAGACTCTTTACATGCTGTTCCAGTCACTATATAATAGCCTCGTTTTCTGATTGCAGTGACTGCAACGGATTGATGTATGTTACCACAGACCTACGATTCAAAATTTTTTAATATAGTTGAATTAATTTGATTTTGTTTTATACACGTAAAAGCATTATTTTGAGAAGTGGATGAATGGATTTTTTTACTGGCAAAAACGATTTAAAAAACAAACAAACATGAAGCTGAAAATTTAAGCACCTTTACTATATAGTAAAATGGAAAATCGTTAAATTATTTAATAATCTCCTCCTCCAATAATATACATTATACATTAGCGATTACGAAATGTCAAGAAAAAATGATGCTGTTTTTTAAATTTTTAATATCTTTTGTTACATTTATGACGTTATGAAAATGCTATGTTATAAAAGGTGATTGACTAAGCTGCCATTTTATGATTTTTTTATTGCATTTTATATATAAAGCCAATATGGATAGATTATCTGAAAATATTTCCTTTTTTTTTTGTGCAGCTTAATTTATTACCTTTAATGTACCATGGATAAAATCTAATGACATTTTATAATTTTAGCCATAAGATGATGCAAAAATAAATACCTTACTGAAAATAAATTAATTACTTTAAGTTACAAATTCAGAATCCTAACAGTTCATACGAAAAAATATACTTTATAACATTTTAAATATAATATTATAATATTTTATTTTATTTTCATACGAAAAAATATTTTAGGCATTATCAATGTTTTATATGACTTATTTTCTTAGAAACATTGATATTTCTTTCTATATAATTATTTCGGTGCTGTAAGTTTTACTGAAAATGTCACTCTGTAATAAGCATGTGAAAATAAACATAAAATTATGACACAACTATTGCTTCCCATCAAAAATTCTCACAGATCCTTCGACGCGGAATGAGAATCAAAAGGGTTCGAAGGGGAGCAGCACTCATTCTCCTTCTCGCTCCTAGGAGCTGTCAGGAGCAGGCGACTCGCAGGAACAATAAAGCGCCCTGATTAACTCCCGCAAAGGTCAGGCGGTCTCAGTGCGGGCTGTTTTTCATTCACGATTTGTCTGTCTGCACCAGAAGGGTGGGGGGAGGTAGTGCCCCATCCCTCTCCCCACACAAGTCTGTGACGTCAGCTTCTTTAAGGGAACCCGGACATTTGCTGTCTTTTCAAGTGTAGTATTTATTATTAATACATTAGATATGATTGAGGATAATATGGTAAAAAATAATAATGTGAAGAAAATTTTTATTTATTTATTTATTATTATATATTTTTTAATTTTATTATTTGTTCAAGATCTGAATTTGGATGAAAATCTATTTATTTGATGCTACTAAATACAAGATCGTAAGATCAAGTAAAATATTATACAGTTACAAGGGAAGCTATAGATTTTATAGTATATCGCATTGTTTGATTTGCTTATTTGCATTGTGCAATTTGATTATTTGTTGCAGGGCGTCATTTATTAGTTAAATCGTGAGCAAGCAAATCAAACAATGCGATAAACAATCAAATTAAGTAATGTGATAAAGAATTAAATTAAACAATGCGACAAGTAATTAAATCAAACATTGCAAAACAAGCAAATCAAATAATGTAAAACAAGATATTAAATTATATGATATTTTTTAATTTGATTCTTTATCACATTATTTAGTTTGATTCGCTTATTTGCATTGTTCAGTTCGTTTATTAATCGCATTATACGATTTATTAGTTCATTGTTTAGCATGATTCCTTGTAAAGAAGCAAATCAAGCATTACGATAAACAATCAAATTAAATAATATAATAAAGAATCAAATTAAACAATGCGATAAAGAATCAAATCAAACAATGCAAAACAAGATATTAAATAATGCGATATTCTTTAGTTTGATTTTTTATCACATTGTCGTGATATTTTATTCATGCTGTGAAATGTTGACAACTGTTAAAAATAAATAAGAATTGTTTATTTTAGAACAACAAAGTTCATTTATATACAAATTAATTGCATCGCAATTACAAATTACATATAAATTGTAGCTTGGATTAAACTGAATTGCTCCCAACTGTTTCGAAATTAAATGAAGTGTTACTTTCGTTATTTAAACTGTACCTTTCATTTCTTATGCTTCCAGTATTTGAGTTCTGCAGATATACAAAAACATCAATCTTAAACTATTTCGACAAGTACAGAGACGCAATATGTTGCGGATTATTTGTAGACATCTTACAAGTATTTCTGATATACCTTGCTTTTGCCCTTGCCGAATTTCCACCCATTGATATCAGTGTTTTGAGGAACATAGAGTTACGAAAAAAAAATCTTTACTAATCCTCTGTAGATAAGTGCGGCCATACCATGGTGAATATACCGGTTCTTGTTCGATCACCGAAGTCAAGCAGCGCGGTCAGTACTTGGGTGGGTGACCACCTGGGAACACCGCGTGCCGTTGGCATTCACACATTTGGGACCTGAATGGCCGAGTGTTTAGCGCTCTGGCGCTAGGTGCCACAGGTTTCGGGTTCGAATCCCAGTGGTGCCATGGATGTTTGTAGTGGTTCGAAATCCACTTTAAGCCGTAGGTCGCGGTCTCCTATGACTGTAAGAGCGTCACGGAGCAAAAGTCAGGCTTCTACCTACGGGTGCTCCATCACAACAGAAGCTGCTTCCTTCCCCTTCAATCATAAGTACGTATGGGCTCGTGGGCTTGGCCAGCCAAGTGGGATAAGAAACAACAACAACAACATAAGTGCGTCTTTTTAATGCCTATTACAACTTTACCTTATCCATCCTAGAGAAGTCCAATCAACTTTATTACAAGTTTATAACAGTTTTACAGAAGACTTATCAATAGTTTGTTATACTGATGGTAGTAAAATAAATTGCTAACCTACTATTGCATTACCTACGGCATCTATAAAAGTGGTCATAAATTAAAATATCAATTCAGGCTCTTCTTTTCTCTATTTTTATTGCTGATATCCCAACTAATATTAAAATCTTAACTGCTATCTACGCTGCTATCTATACTGCAATACTTTGCAAAAATAAAAACGCTAATTCTTAACTATCACCCTTAGTAATCACCTTAAAGTTCCGTATAACTGTTCTAATAAATGGAAAATTTCTTTAAATGAAGCTAAGACTGAAGCTGCCTTCTTTTTTACTGGAAGTAAACGTAAAAAGCCTGTGATTATGATCAACAATAATATTATCTCTTGGAATAGTCAAACTAAATATTTATGAATTATTCTGAATCAGCATTTAACTTGGAAACAACATTTTCTGTACACCGAAACTAAATTTCGTATTGCCTTCAGAAAACTCTACCCACTTATGAATAGAAATTCTACCATGACCAGGCATAACAAAATTCTTCTTTATGCTGCTAAGCTTCACCAAATTCTCACGTGCGCTTGCCCGGTCTGGTCCTATGCAGCTAAATCTAACTTAAAACGCTTGAAACTTTACAAATATCACTATCCAATAAATTGCCAATGCTAAGTAGTTTATAGGAAATTCTGTTATTTATAAATCTATTAACATTCCTTCTTTAAAAGATTTTCTGAAACACATCTCTATTAAATTTTCTAACACGCTTATAAATCATGAAAATACTACAATCCAGGAGATTGACTTCTACGTTACCAATTACAATTTAGAACGCCCACTCAAAATTTTAATGTAATTTCTAATTATATATATATATATGTGTGTGTGTGTTTCTTTTCTTTTATTTGTTTTTATAAATTATGTTTGTAAGTTAATTTTATTTGCAAATATATTCTGGGCAATTTTTACTGTTTCAACTGTATTTACCCTGTCATATCGGAGATGGAGCCCCTAAGGGCTAAATAGCTCCAAATGAATATGTCAACCAAATACAATTCAGAATTTATAGCGAATATGCCGTGTTTATTGCCCAACAGTTAAGTTAATCGTTAAATTTTCATTAAACTGGATAAATGAGCAAAATGGTCCCTATTCAATAATGAATCATTTGTAATTTGCACGACATCTCTGCCATTATTAGAATCACTGAAAAATATTGCAGCGTGCAATAATATTATTGCTAATATTCAAATAATTCATTGCATCTTTACTGAACAAAATGTAACCGTATTTCTTATTTTAAAATGACGTCCAAAAACAAGTAATATAAAAAATTATTTTTTAAAGTCAATTCCTACCTTTTTTCACCATATTGCAGGAATTCCTTTATAAATAATTTTCATTCATTTTTTTTAGGTTTATCTGGCGCCATCTATTGGTAGATACATGCAACTTAAATCTAAAAAAAAAATATAATTAATTAATTAAATTCAATTAATGAATTAATATTTGAAAAAAACTGTATTCACATCAAGTGTCATCCACTAGAAGTTAAAAAAAATGTATTTGAACTGGAGTGGATGAATAAAAAGTATTTTATGAACGATTGAAAATTTGAACAATATATACATAGGGAGATTGTGAGCTAATAGAAGGAATTGAAACAAGATCAATAACTTGTGAAATGCATTGTACTTAGACTCATCCAATGTCTCCCTCTCTTCTGAAAATACTAAGCATTCATCATTTTTTTTACTGTTTTCGGAATCATTCAGATTATGACTGCACATGGCAATAACTCCTATTTAAAAGGATTTAAATAATTCTTTTCAACAGTAATGCTGGTAGAGTGCAAAATACCAATTACATTTTAAGGAAAGAAATAATTATCCAAAATGTCAAATAATCACCGGACTCGTTCATTCAACTTGTTAATACGAAGCATAATTATGCACTCCTTTGTAAATTCCTACTTTGATGTTTCTTACATCTCTTCTCTATCGTTCTTTGTATTTATTATTCTTTTGTAATGTCATGTGTCTTTATGTAAATTTACCATTTATTTGATGATTTTATTATTTTGTCGTCGATTTCATCGTTAATTACTTTTGTAAGCGTCTTGTTATATTTCGTAGTACACGAGGAGTTTTTGTCAACTTCAATAGAAGAAATAGATATGGTTTTGATCTTTTAGAAATGGATATGAGTATATTTTTAATTAAAAAACAACTCTTCTGGCAGTTTAAATCAATGTTTTACTTTAAAATAAAATTTATTGAATGTCCTTATTGATTTTTTGGTGTCATCAGTTAGCATGAAAAACTGATTACTAGTTTCATACATTATATTTTCTAGATGTGTTCTTTTTGCTTATTGCTTTTCTTTCAATCACTTTTATAAATGTATGTTGCAGTAATAAAATTACGGTATTAAAATTTCACCAAACCTTTATTCAATTTTTGAAGAATTTTATTTATCACCTTTTAGAATCTTGATGTTATATGGAACATAATTTTCGGATTGTTTTGCATATTTTTCTGACTTTTTTTTTTTTTTTTTTTTAAATTAAAGTTAGCAATGCATAAAACAAATTTAAAAAAAAAACCTAGGTAAAACTAGCATTTAAATGAAATAAACAAAGTCATTTTGAATTCATTCCCAAATTATTAACCTAAAGAATTGTATACACTAGGAGAAAATTATATAGAAAGGATTTTATTAGGAATAACTATTTGCAATAATTAGGAATGAATCTAGTTTTGTTGAAATGAATAAAAAAGGCAAATGGGTACAACCCTGCTATAATGAAGCGGATTAGTTTTATGACTTGCAATTAAATATGTGTCTTTGTATGAAAATGAGTTTGGGTCATTTAATATCTCATTAATACGTTCGCAAAACGTTTTTCAGTAATGTGAAGTCTCATTTCCTTTCCGAATCTCAAAACTCTTCTTTCTATATTCCTTTTGTATAAAGGAAATGACAATGCGTTTTAGTTTGTTAGTGTTGTGAGCATATTATTACTTTGACGTAGGATAAACTTTGTTAGATTTTGGGTTGCCATTATTGTTTATCCATTGTTATCGTGTTTAAGTTTAGCCATTGTGTTTAAGTGTTTTATCCATTTGTTATTGAAATATTGATTATATTGTCTACCATTAAAATATATGTTTATGAACTTTGTGTTTGCGTAAGTCTAAAAGCTTAGTTCATTTTCATAAACGATGGTCATTTAAGCTTTTATTTAAATAGTAAATAATATTTATTCATAATACTATTAAAACATTATTGTTATGTAATACTATCAAAACAAAAAAAATAATTGATAAATTATTCTTTTCATTTTTATTATATTACGAAAAGGCGTTTTAAACTAAATTTTGAAGTATTTAATTTTATCATTTGAAGTGTATACGTAATTTTATTATTATTCCATATGATGTCAGAGCTAAGCCTCGTTAGACCACAAGATTGATGCATTACTACTAGTGAAATCGCAATCAATAAAAATATTTATTTAATTAAATCTAGTGTTTTACATTGTTGTCTAATGTGTAAACTAATGTAATGTGTTAATCTAACATGTAGCTATTGATTTTTTTCCTGATTTTTGAGAAAATAAAATAATGATAATGATTATAGTACAATAAATAATAAGGACAAGTAATAACGTCCTTTGAAAAAAAAAACTCTTAGGTGTTTATAAATTATAAATCCAAAACATTTATTGCTTTATATATCTAGGGAGTTGGTTTCACTAGGGCAATCATGCATTTCATTCCCAAATATTGCAGTTAATTTCTTACTTCTAATAAAATACTTTATTCATCCTTTACATTTAACATAGAGAGATAAATCTATTGTGAAAACACGAGGCATGACATTTGAAAAAAATTACGAAGACGTAATTGGCATACTTAAGAAGACACGTGACTTTAAAAAGGACAAATTGGCAATTACATTGACTAATTACATGAGATTTATTGTTCCTTTAATTATACAGATTCTAACAAACAATAAAAAAAATGAAAAGCTCAAAAAAAAAATAAATAAATAAATTAAAGTGCATTGTTTTCTTTCCGATAAATCAATGAAGACTAAAAGTTTTTCCTGAAAGCTTGCTCCGGAATCTTTTCCCTCAAGTGATATTCAATTGATTTGTTTCAAGATTTTTTAGAATAAAAACAGTTCCAATGTTTATTCTTCTATTGGTAATCCTTAAGTTGAATCTGTAAGCATTATATGTTCAATTTCAGAAGAAAAAATAACGCTCAGACACGTTATCAATCTGTCTTTTGTCAATAGTGCTAAATATATATATATATATTCGTATTGTTAGAATGAATGAATATAGCATTCCAGAATGTTTCTTTAAAACATTTGTAAAGATCAATACTATCACTAAAAAAATAGTTTACTGTAAGCTGATTTTGATAAAGAAATCGGTTTGTGTTAGAAGTTAAACTTTTAAAAAAAATTATATTTTAGAAATTCCATTTGTTAATTTAAAAAATTGATGAAGTAATAAAATCATAACGAGACGGATATTAATTCTTAAATCTTCATTGCTTTTAGAGCTACACGGAAAGATCAATTAATGCATTAAACATAATTTCAAA